CGTGCAGGCCATAAGCCGCCTCGTTCCGACGCCCCTTTTTGTCTTCGTGGCCCCGTCGCGCACTACGTTCGGCTCCTTTTCACACCCCCAGGGGGTGGCGCCTTACAACTTTACAGCCCCCCCAGGTCCCGCACTACCCCACACTGGAATTATGGGCCACCCGAGGGGGGAATGGATGGGAAACCGGGGCCCGAAAGTCACTAAGGTGTCGCTTTGATCAGCCGCCCGTAGGTACGGTACTTGGGGCAGGTTTTAGGGAAATTCAGGGCTCAGTATTTGAAAAAATGGTGAGGGTACGGAAGGTGCACCGCGACACGCAACGCGTGGCTTTGTATTGCGTAATTGGTTATGGTACCTTTATGCTTTCCTCTTTTATGCTAAGCTAAGCTTAAGCCAAACCTAAGCCAATTCTAAGCCAAGCCCAAACCTAAGCCAAGGCTAAGCTTAAGCTAAGCCTAAACCAAGTCGAAGCCAAGCCTAAACTAAGTCTGAACCTAACCCAACAGATGCGAGCTTCCAATTCCGCGCGAATTAGCTGTCACCCCCGTCTCGAGTTGTCAAATTCGCGTCGAGACCCCCCTCTGAAAGCGCGAGGTGGGCCAATTTGGGCGCGGCGATGTATTGGCCATAGAATGGACAGATGGGTGGACACAATGAGAGGAAGAGGAAGAGTGGGTGAGGGAGACAGAACATGATGACACTACACGACGCGCCTATTCACAGCTATTGTCCGTGCCAAAGTCAAATTACCGCAACGGGAGGTTGGGTAACTGCCGGCGTAAGAGGTTTCCGGGGTTTACAAATATCGAGTTTTGGAGTTGCAACCGGTTTAAACGCGTTTAAAGGGGTGGGAAAGGCAGGGCATGGTTGTGGATTTTTAGGATTGGGCTTAGGCTCGACTTAGTCTTAGGCTTAGGCTTGGTTTTGGGGCAAGCTTTGGCTTCGTCTTAAGCTTAGGCTAGGCTTAGTCTTAGCTTAGATATTGCTTAGGCTTAGGCTTGGCTTAGGCTTGGTTTAGACTTGAGCCTAGGACTAAATTAGGCGGAGTCTTACGCTTAATTCAGGCTTAGGCTTAAGCTTGACTTAGGCTTACGCTGCTTAGGCGTTGACTTAGCTTAGGCATAGCCTTGGCCTAAGCTTATACTGCTTAGGCTTGGATTTAGCTTAAGCTGATTCATCTCAGGTGTGTGCTTAGCTTTGCTTGATCCCGGCTTAAGCTAGCTTTAGCTTCAGCTTATGCTCAAACTAGTGGTCGTCTTAGCTTGAGCTCAAGCTACAGCTTAGTGTGCTTAGGCGTAGGCTTCTGTTTCGCGATCTTATGGCAAGTTTTCACATTTTTTGAAGCAATTTTCCACCCAGTGGGGGTTCGATTGCGCGGAACCCGCGATTCCGGCCATTCGAATACCTGTGCGTAGAAGAATTCGGGGGGAGTGGGCCGGTGGTCTAAGGGCCCATAAAGGCCCACATAGAGGGCCCAGAACGGAAGGTAGCCTAATGGAGTATAGAGCAGCCCGAGGGGCCCCATAATTGGGCCTCGATTCTCAAGTGGTGCCCACCAGCGACCCACCCCCACCCATCCACACCACCCCATTATCAGATGGCTCGAGGCTGGGGTAGAATTAAAGGGACTGGGAAGGCACGAAATCCACAAAATCCACAGAGCCATGCCTTTCAAATCCCTTTAAAGATCCCGTGAAGCAAGGAGAAGCCGTCTTGCAAAAAAATTATACCTTAAACACCGATTTTCCAGAAACTCTCCGAACTGTGCGACAAGCGACGCAAGTGTACCATCAACGTCGCGGCCGCCACTTTTGAAGAGGACCCCTGCCCGGGAATTGGAAAATATTTGCAGATGAGCTACAAGTGCCGACCAGGTATATTTTTGGGGCTTAAAGGGGCAGTGACAGCTCCGAAAACGCCTACGAACGCCTGTTGCGTGCAGCGAAAACCGCAAGAAAACGCGAAGCACACGACGCAACCACAACGCATTAGTGTCACGTTCTGAATATCACCAGGAATGCCTAGCGCAACGCAACGCAGCCGCGGCGCATCCAATGTCGGTCGTTTTAAAGGAACTAGACAGCGCGAAAATCGACCCCTCTAGCCGGCTGAGTCTCGACAGCTACGTGGCGCTCCAAAGCACAAGTTTCGATGTGAAGTTTCCCATATCTTTTCAACGTCTTTTAGTGTACTTCGTAACTGTCTGCACCTAGTCGAGGACAGGGGTCGATTTTGGCGCTTTTTAGACCCTGTAAAGGAACGTGTAAGGCTTTTGGATTCATGGTATTTTGGCTAGGGACTTCCCAGAAGTTTTGCATAACATGCGATTCCATTGCGTAATCCATTATACTGTGCGGCACGTGGCGGGCGTCGCGTGTCGGAATGCGCCAAAATTTCGAGATAGTCCACAGCCCACAAAATCCATAGTTACGGCTTGCCCGTGCCTTTAAAACCCCCTCTTTCCCAGTCAATTTCCATATTTCGTATATTTCCCCATCCCGGATTAAAGGAGCAATGAAGCAGAAAAGAGCCGCGTGTCTATAGTATGCATCCGTAGTATGTTGGGTGGGTGGATTGAAAGTCATTAGGGCAGTCGCGTTTCCCGGGGCATTCCAATGAGCGATAAATCCTCGGCTCTTTGGTGGTGGGACCTTGGTTATTCCCCTGGTGACAGCTTCTCCCTCCCCGCTTTCCCCCCGTATGCTAATGCATTGCTATGTGGACGAGTCAAGCCCAGCGGCTGGCTATGCAAAATCGCCGAGTTTTGACGGGGGGCCGCTATGGGAATTCGGGTCCACGGGAGGGGTGAAAATGCTAATTCCCAGCGTAAAAAGTAAAAATATAAAGACCCAAAAACTAAAACCAAAAAGCAAAACTCTGTCGGGCCCGGGCCTCGAACCCGGGTAGCTAGAACGTGAAGCCAACACACTACCACTTAGCCAAGGACTTGAGGCCTTATTAAAATTGGAAATTCGTGGCCACTGAGGGGTTAAAATGCTAATTCGCAGCAGCAACACGGGTAACATAAAACCTTAATTGTAACCAAAAAGCAAAAACTTTGTCACGCCCGAGAGTCGAACCCGGGTAGCTAGAACGTGAGGCTAACACACTACCAATTAGCCAACGTCTTGTAAAATTTATTTTTTAAACTAAAGGATTATTTTATGCTGCTTTTTTCAGTCTCATTCGAGTCGGCCTCATTCTGCGAGGGCGAGCAAATGGCGATGCAATGTCGAGAAGGACGAAGAATGGCGATACATGCAGCAGAATGGACACATGGAAGGGAGACATCTACCTCTACGCAGCCCGGAACATCTTCTTGTAGTTTGTCGCCTGGGAGGGAGGCAGCTGTTAAAGGTATCGGAATTGCAACGTGCTTTAAAGGGACTAGAAACACTTAGCGGTTCTTTTGCATTATCGGGGGAGGTGAAAAACTTATTTTTTCGTTAGTATCCAATTTTTATACGGTTAAAGAGAAATTTTTTCTAAACTGTTTTTCACAATTCCTAAACGCAAAAACTCAACAAATTTTTAAAAAGACATGAAAGGCAAAACATTCTGATGAAAAATTCTCATTTGTGCCCAAAATCCAAATTTAGCATTTTTTGAGGACTTTTAGATAGTTTTTCTACCTGAAATATGGTTAAATTTTACCAAAAAAACTGAAAAAATTGGTTTCCTCCTGAAATCCCCCCGCTAATGCAAAAGATCCCCCTCATCCTATTATGGATGGATACTAGATTGGGAGGATAATGCAATGGACGATGCTGGGATTCGATTATCCGCCCGTCCTCCTTGTGGCCCTCATTACCCAATGTACGGGGGGAGGAGCACGAGATTGATGGGGATGGGGAGGCGGATAATTCGATTATAGCCCCCCATTCACATCTTCATGGGCTTAAGGATTATGCTAATTTGCCCCTCAAAATTTAGTCTGGCTAAGGGGTTAAAAAGAATTTTTAAACCATAAAAATTACATAGAAATTGGCGGGACTACATTACGCTCCTCTTTACAGGTGGCTGTGGTCGAGATGTTCTATCGGAGCTGCTCAGCTGCCATGGTCAACCCGTATGCTCGATGCCGCTCGATGAGAAGCGTTTGGGGAAAACCTGTGGGCGACCCAACGCTCTGCACGTCACTTTTGTGTGCGGTAAGCTGGGAAATCTCTCGCTCTCTCTCTTGCTCTCTTTCACAGGCTTTCTCTTTTTCTCGCTCTCTCTCACTCTCACGCTCTCTCTCTATCCATCTATCTCGCGCTCTCTATCTCTCTCTCCGTCACTCACTGTTTCGCACACGCTCTCACTCTCTATATCTCTGTATCTCGTTCTTCTCTCCTGCTCAGTCTCTCTGTATTTCGTTCACTGTATCACGCTCACTCTCTTTATGTCGTTCTCCCCAGCGCTCTTTCTCTCCTTCTCTCGCTCACTCTCTCTAACCTATCTCTCTCCCTCTCTCGTTCTCCCTCCTGAGACTCATACTTGTACAACTCCCTTTAGTCAATGAAGAAATCTTCAGCGAAGAAACCCTCCGCGGCGAGCTCCAACTCTCCAAACATTTCAAGGCAAACTTTATCTTAATTTCCCCCATAATAATGTTATCTTAGTACCTAGAAGGCTCGGGAAATGGATGGGAAGAGGAAAAACCCGCTCAAATCGAGCAGAAGCCTCCTTCACAACCCCAGATTCCACCTAAAGAATCCAAACCCAAGCCCGAGAAGCTGAAAAAAGAGGCCAAGGAGAAGCCCGATGAGAAGAGAGAGGTCTTGCCAAGGGAGATTGCTGTTGAAGAGCATATTGGTGAGTGTTTCAAATGGTCTCTGCTAGTCTGCCAGGAGCAGAAGTTTCATCAAACATCATTTTTTAGAACATTCTATGCGAGATCAATCTTCCGTTCCTCGTGGGCCCAGCGGCCCGAGCTTCAACGAGCCGCCTCCGCCTATTTTGCTGAGTGATGCGGGTGAGCCTGAGCTTTAAAGGGGCTTAGAAGGCAAATTTTTGTAGAAATGCGCGGTCAGCCGCTAAAAGAAGAGGAGGAAGAGGTGCCGGTGGAGGAGGAGAATCCAAATTTCGTTGGTGTGGCGCATGATGTACTGATGGTCGCGAAATTTTTTGGAGGTAGGGAGGCGGATGAGAAATGGATCTGTCTCTCTATGTTTCTATCCCTCTCTCTCGCTCTCTGTATCCCTCTCTCTCTCAATGTCTCTCTAACCCTCTACCTCCTTAGCTTTTTCTCTAGCTGCCGCTCTCTCTCTCTCTCTCTCTCTCTCTCTCTCTCTCTCTCTTTCTCTCTCTGTCTCTCTCTCTCTCTCTCTCTGTTTGTCGGTCTCTCTCTGACTCTTTCTCTCGCTTTCTAGCTTTTGTTCTCTCTCTCTCTCTCTATCACTCCATTTCAGACCACAGTCAAGAAGCCCTCTGGGTCGTGGGTATCGGTGTAGCTCTCTGCGTCTGTCTCCCTCTAGCTGTCTGCCTCTGCTTCTGCAGGTATGCCTATCCCACAGACTACTGTATCCTGTCATCTTTTAGAGCCACCCAACGCGACAAAAACAACGGCAAGATCCGATATTCAATCGAGACGAGCCAATTATTCGCCAAGGGAAGCCAGAGTAAGGCATATCCCAAAAGATCTCTGCTAGCCTGCCCTTTTCAGTGCTCGATGGCCCTTCACATCTCATTGACATTGGTGATCTGCCGGAGGATACTTATATACGGTAATTGGGTCGTTTTAACGGGACTGTCAAGGAATGATTCTTTGGGCTTCGGTCTAGTCTTGGCTTTGGTTGCTAGGTTAGGGCCTAGGTGAGGCTTGTGGCTTGGGTTTAGGCTTACGTTTAGGTCAGGCTTCGGTTTAGCTTAGGCCTAGGCTTAGGCTTAGGCTTGGCTTAGGTTAGGCTTAGGTTAAATTAGGCTTAGGGTCCAGCTTAGGATCAGGCTGAGCTTGGGCTTGGATTAGGCTTGGCTTCGATTTTAGGATCCGGCTTAGAGTCAGACTTAGGCTTGGGCTTGGATTGGGCTTAGGCTTAGGCTTGGAATTGGCTTAGGATCAGGCTTAGGCTTGACCTTGGCCTGGGCTTATGCTTAGTCTTAACTTAGGCTTAACCACAACTTTGCGGATCCTTTAAAGGGCTGCCGACGGCATGTGTCGATCCCCCCTCATAAACAAATTGACAAGTAGCCAACAGTGGAGAGAGCGCGCCCAGGGGAGAGGCGCAGAGACATTTCCTTTTCCGCGCGTAACCGATTGACTATGCCGTCGGCATCCCTC